TCTGCCGTGGGGACGGGACCGAGGGGGAGGCCCAAAAATCGGGAAAAGACGTATTAACGTCGGGAAAAAAAACCCCGGCGTTTCTGTTTGCGAAGCGCGAGGGAGCGGGCCCGAGCCGCGTTCTTATGGAAAACCGACAAATAGCGGTCTGTCCTGAGCGTGACCTCTCGCGGAGGGAACCTCTGCCTGTCCCACCGCCTGTGGGAAGTGGGTTTAGGGGGGGTTTGTTTGTTTTGTATTTTAGATGGACGCCGGCCCTGCAGTGTGTTCGGCGTGTCTGCGGAGATCTGCCCGTGTGTCCATCCGTCCATCCGTCCGTCTATCCATCCGTCCGTCCGTCCATCCCCATACATACACGCACACATAAATCGTGCTGCGTTTCGCGGCATCGATGCGTGCGCGTCTCCAGATAATGAAATGTGCCCTCACGTAAAAAGGCACATCTAAGCCCCGGACCCATTAAAGTCCCAGCGATTTTGTTTTGTGAATTCGTTTTACGACCCCTTATCCCCGAGCCCAGGACGGATGTGCAGTAAAACGGAGCCGCTCTCTAATAACGCGATTGGCCGCTCGCTGGGAAAAGTTTATTGATAGCTGCAGGGCTCTAATCTCCTCGGAACACAAGAGGCTCTTGCAGTCATTTAAGGGTAATTATCTCAACGGAGAGGGGCAGCGAATTCCCTTTCCTTTTAACCGGACCCAATAAAGATGGTAGATTAGGAGCATATGGATTATGAAATGAATTGATAGAAGAGACACTTTATTAACTGATAAGCAACAGGACCTGACTGAAATGAATCGTCCTGCGCGCAGCTGCACACACACGCACGTATCTCGCACACGCGTGGGTGCACACCCCGGCGGTGTGCTCGCTGTGGGTGCTGCCCCGCGTGCGCACACGCACACTCTGCTCGCACGCGTTGTGCTGGTGCTCCGGTACCACCCGCCTAGGTGAAGGCGGTTTGTGGGGGGCTCGCAGCCTGCCCCCGCTCTCCTATAGATCGGGGTGAACGCGCGCTGCGCGCACCTACTCGCCGGCGTTACAGATCCCGTAGATACACCCGGAGCCCGTCCCGTTGCGCGCTCCGGCCAGGCGGGGAGC